GGGGGGGGCAAATGCCCCCCCCCAAATTATTTTTTGCCCCCCCCCCATTTTGCCCCCCCTCAAAAAAATATTAGTCTCTAAGAGCGACTAAAGGCTACACAAGCGTTTTGTCGTTATCGGAAAATGTATGGCTTATAAGTTGTCATTACTCATTAGTGAATGCGCGTATACATGAAACTGTTTTTACAGTTTCAATATTAGTTTGTAAATCTCTGAATGGTAAAACTTGCCAATACTCCAATAATACGTTTCAAAAAAAGACAAAAAAGCTTTAGTTTTGCAGAGTTAAATTCCCAAACGTGTAAGGCACTAATAAGATGAAAGTATCACGAAATTATTTGAATAAACCACATCGCATATATGGGGGCGAATGTCCTAAAGAGGGGCGATATTCCTAGGGTATTCGCCCCACCCCCTGGGAGGCGATATCGCCACGTTTGGAGGGGGGGGAGGGCGGGGAATCTCCTTGGGGGGGACCTTTTTAAAAATTCTATCTTGCCCCCCCAAAATATGAGTTTGCCCCTCAAATGCCCCCCCAAATTCGGAGGCCTGGCGCCGCCACTGGTTAATTTCACATGTAAATAGCATGACCACAGCTCTCTTATAACTTCATACTTTCTGGATACAAATAGGTCAATAAAATTATCATTTTGAAACTCATTAATAATTCATAAAGAAAACGCAAAAGAAATTATGAGCGTGAAGGAGTATAACTTGCACCTGATACAAAATCATGCTGATTTACATAAACTTTATAAGTTCAATTTTCTCACCAAATATCATTCATTTATTTTAAATTGTTGAAGAATACGAATGTTCTATCAAGACCTTTCACAAGTCATGTACAACATTCGCCGCTCATGTTGTAAATGGTACAGATAGGTTTGAATGATTTCAGCAACTTAGTTTTATGACTTTGACAAAACATTTTACCCACTTGTGATGTAAAGGCCCATTTCCACTCAACAAAAATTTCCACGGACAGAAAATTTTCCGAAAATATCATCATATTTTTCCGACGGAAAATTTGTGACGGCCAATCACATTTTACAAAATTTTCTTTCTGCGGAAAATTTTCCTGAGTGGAAATGGACCTTAACAGATTAACTTCATTTAATCAGAGAATCTCGGGAAGGAAAAGAAACGAGTTTACTTACTTTCTTCGTTAGATCCCATAATCTGACCGTCTTGTCATCACTGCCGGTGACAAAAACATCCTTTTCTGGATGAGCACACAGACCCCAGATTTCTCCTTCTGTGTGACTGTTCACGACGACCTGCGAAGATGACGACTTTTCTGTGATGTCGTAAATATCCCCGGACTTTGTGCCAACCAAAATATTTCCCTGTTGAAATAATGATGTTTGAAATTTTCATACAATACGACAAGCATTTGGTGTTAGGGGGCTTCGGTAGCGCAATTGTCAGAGCAAACGCCTTTCAATTCACCTCTTAGATCGCGGGTTCGATTCCGCTGCGGACTCAAGACACTTATGTGAAGAGTTAGTCAACGCTCGTGGGTTTTCGCCGGGTGCTTCGGTTTTCCCACACAGGGCATGTTGACAGAGTGGGTTGGGGCAAGGCCCTAACTGACCGTTCCACCGTAGCTGTGCTCCGTGATCAAACATGAGTCAAACGGTGGCTGACTTTACAGAAAAACTTCGACGCTATCAGGTTGAGCTGTAGTCTCCTACGCAGCCTGTTCGCGGGTCCGAGGTTTTCTAGTTGAGCTGTGACCTTCGCAATTCAGCTTAGCTCTCAGTAAGTTGATAATTAACTTAGTACTTACTTACATACATGCACAAGGCCGCCGAGAACTTGGCGGGGGCACGGGGAAAATTTTTTTTAGGGGCCCCTATTTCAAAAAATTTTCCGAACGAGTACGTTGTAATCGCTTTCCAGTGACTTTACCTCAATTTTTCATACCAAATTTCGGTCCTTTGCCCAAAAAAACAAACATCTATCTTGCCCTTCGCGCGGAAATATTTCACCCAAAAAAATGACTGGGGCCCAACAAAAAATCTCTAGGGCCCCTCAGGGCCCGGGGCAATTTGCCGCCCCCCCCCCACCCCTCCTCGGCTGCCCTGTGCATGGGTAAACCAAAATGGACTACAATTTGGGAAAACCATTTTTGCAACAAAAATCACATTTAGGATTCTGAATTTGTTGGAAAACATGTTTACTTCACGGGAAGCAAAATTTATTTGTGAAAATTTCTAGGGAACATCGGAAATTTCAAATGTCTTCTGGTTTCATTAGGACTGTACCTTTTGTCTACAGACAGACTTCACGACATCAACGGCTGAGCCACTTCCAAGATTGAAAGAACGACATCGTTTCATTTCTTGATCCCACAACTTAACTGAGCCACCATCTTTTAAGTTTCTAAAATGTACCGATAAAATACTTACTTCAACGTGGGGGTCAGTGAATGTACAGTAGTATTCTACAACAAGCTGTCGTGATTTGTGTCTGAACTGCCTGAAAAAATATCTCAAACGTGGTGGTCCAGTGTAGATACTTTACAACAAGCTGCTGTGGTTTGCGTCTGAACTACCTGAATAGTATTCCATACAATAAAATGAAGTGGTTTGTGTCTTATTGTTTTTAACGATCTACAGTATGGTAACTTTTTAAACTTTTTTTTTAAATCCTTACCCTTTTTCCTTCCCCCCAGAGACAATAAGACCGTCAGTTAGGGTGGTAAATAGGGTGAACACAGGACCATTGTGAGCTTTCTGGACCAAACGGATCATTTGCTGATGTTGCCAAACATACACATCCCCGCTCATAGAACCAGTAAAGGTGACGTCATCCTGGGGGAGAAATTATATAAAATATTTCATAATTTTACATGGAATTCGCCAGTTTTTTAGGACCTTAAACAAACTAAGTTCAACTCACGTTATCTTTACTGTATAGCCCAATCAGTTGTAAACTGTTCTACTCAAAGGTCCAGAAAGGACCAATCATTGTAAGGCTGGCGTTACTATACAGTAAACTGTTCTTCATAGAAGTTCAGTAAGGGTTCAACAGTTCATTGCATGTTGCAGTTCGAGGTTTGGGCGATTGTATTATATTAAGTATGAAATATGGTACAACCGGAAATTTTTTTTCTCTTCACCCCTTCATTACCCAAAAGTGCCCTTGGAAGCCGGTGGCCCCCGAATCTCTTGATGCTTCATGCGCCCCTGACGCCAAATTTTTCAAATCAATGAAAAGACAATGGAGCATTCCGATCAGTGAATCATGACTGGATAGCACTATTGTTATATGCTATGCACAAAAGTCAAGACGCTTATACTCACCGCTCCAAAAGCCACAGAAAGCATGGTCTGCATTTTCAAAGTCGTTTCTGACTCATCTCCTTCGGGTTTTGTCAAAACACCTCTCTTGCCGACCAGCTGTCCACCAGCGAGGCTCCAGAACATCACATGTTTTACTCCACACGTCACGAACTTCGTATCCGAGTCTGGGCGAAACTCCGCGACGAAAATCCTTTGACTATGACCTGTCGTACTGGCAAGTTTTAAACCTAAAAATGAGATGATTATAATGAGTTATATATTTAATGTCGATTACAAAGGATGTGATTGCCTAATTCACGCGAGAAGGCTCATGGCATACACACGTAAAAACGCGCAAGTTGTTACATATCTGCAAACAAGTTGTAACAAAGGTGTTAGGAAATGTTCGCACTGCTTGTTCCTTTGACAAGTCTGGAACAAGTTGTCATCACCTTGCTACAAGGTTGATGATGGTAACAGTCTCGCTACAAGTTGTTCCAACAAGACTAATGCAGGCTGTTCGTAACAAGTTGCTTCGATCTTGTTGTCATCAACTTGTTGCGAGCCTGTTCGCCTCATCAACTATGCATGTTACAAGATGATAACAACTTGTTCTGACTTGACAACAGATTTGGAACATGCAGTGCTAACACATCTTGTTGACAAGCTGTGAGATGTTTTGCGATTCGTCTTAAAGAAAACGTGAATGATCATTGGTGAGAACAATAACTTATTGAATAATAAGCAATTATTGGATGAGGCTGAGCATGATATCAAGAATTATTCAGACCGAGGTCAATGTTATCTGCCGAAGCGAAGCTGAGGCGGATAACATAGACCGAGGTCTGAATAATTCTTGATATCATGCGAAAACCGAATCCAATAATTGTTTTATTATACATTTAAAGACATGAGAAACGTATAAAACGATTCCTGTTCATGAGGTAGGAAAAGTACAATTTGAATATCAAACACATTGCACAAAGTCAAAGGTCAGTTAAATATTCTATTTCTACTTCTATTTACCCCTTTGTGGCTTTTTTCGTGCTTTCACTATCCTTATCTGCCAATAATTTGGAGAGTTCACTTTCATTCAGCGAAGCAAATCTGCTGTAGGCCATTGTTTGTTTGTTTTTTTTCGCGCGCTTATAGGTTCAAGCTTTTGGCCGCGCAAGGGTTTGGGCACGAGAGAGTCCAATAATTTTTTTTTTGGATGCAAGTTCGATCCAAAAAAACAATTATTGGACGCTGATGACGTCATCGGCGGAAAATACGTAATAAATGCCGAATACTGAAAATTAGCCGGTGCTTTCTGACCAATTAGAAACGAGAATACATATTAAATGTATAATAATGACTATTATTTATTGAAAATAATTCAAGAGTTTTAATTGGCTAAGAGCTGTCGGTGAAATCGTCATATCCGCTCGGTAGCTGCCCAAATTTGGAGTTACGACATCACCATGGAATATTGAAAACAAATATACCACGTTTGACGTAATTTGGTGGTGTATTAAAAAACAATGTAACACGCTGACGTCACACTAATTCATGCGGCTTATGCCAAAAGCGGGAAAATACAAATGGCTTCCTCAAAGGAAAGGTTCGCCGACCTTTTTTGTGTATTCCAACAAATAAATAACACAACAATTATTAAATTCGGTTCTGGCAGGATATGAGGAATTATTAAGACCTCGGTTTGTGTTATCTGCCTCAGCTTTCGGCTTCAGCAGATAACACAAACCTCGGCCTTAATAATTCCTCATATCCTACTCGACCTCATTCGATAATTGTTTAAGTACTGTTTAATAAATGAGCAGGAGTGTTTTAGTAGGAGTGCTTTAATATCCTACTCGACCTCATTCGATAATTGTTTAAGTACTGTTTAATAAATGAGCAGGAGTGTTTTACACACGACCTGCGAGTATCTGGAAAATAAACAGTGTACAAGATTTGAAAACTGGTGTTGGGGAAACATTCAATTAACCAATTTTATAATGATTTCAAATTTCCACTCACGCTTCTGCCTCGTACCCAAGCGCTTTGAATAATTATAACACATGAAGTATTCAGGAAGGCAGGCGACGCGCGAAGGGGCTGATGGAAAGGATTTCAAGTGCACTCTTCCCATCAGCCCCTTCGCCCTTCTGTCGTCACTACAACACTTCATGTAAACTTGGCATACGCGCATCGCTGTTTTTTTTACAAAGAGACGCCTGGGTACGAGGCAGCTCACGCTTCGTAATTTTGCTTCAACACCTTTAATCATCTATTGCGTTTTCGACACATGAATATGCACTAGTCGTAAAGACACCACATTTTATTTAACAATCATATATTTACAAATCAGTACATATTTATTAAAAATTGTCTTGGTTATTAAATATTATTCTACAAAAGTAACCTGCAATCTCGTTTCTGGAAACGTTATCAAAAGTTCATTTCTTGCTGTCTAGTCGGGGAAACGACGAATGAAACATCACTATACATGGAGGGTCAACATGCAATAGATATGGCGTGTGCTCTCGCTTCATGCATCGATGGAAGTTCCTCCCACGTATAACGGCTGAAATTGAAACTTTCAACAGATTTCAGGCATTGATCGTTCTCATCGAGCCCACCCATGACAATTATCATATTATCAACAAGAACTGCCGTACATCCCTTCCTCTTATACAGCATGGGAGGAAGCATGTGACACTTCTGGGTCTTGACATTATAAATTGAAACTTTGTTTAATGCTTCATCATCATGATGCGCCCCACCAAGTACAATTACATTATCATGCCATCTCACTGTGGCCATTAAGCCCACAGGATAGGGCAAGGGGGCAAACTCTTTACATTCATTCTTACTAACATCATACATTACAACTTTATTATCATCTTCAGTGGAGGGATTTCCTCCACCTACAATTACAAGTTTATCATCAAAACATTCCATTCCATGATCAGCTATCTTCTGTGGCATTGAAGCCAACAATTTACTGGTGTAAGGAGGGACAAGAGAAACTTCAGAGATATTGTCAAAGTGGAGAATATCATCACTATCATCACTTTTACCTCCAACAACAATCAAATTATCATTATAAACAACAGTTTGGTGTTCTCCCAACTTACAGGGCAGTTTAGCAGGAATATTTTCCCACATTGACAACCGACTAACTTCGTCAACATTCGCAAGTGCTTCTATAGAATTTGTTATATTTGCTTCAATGTCACAACCACCAGAAACTATCATTTGATTGTTATAAACAACTGCTGATGCACCAGCACGGCCTTCGTTCATTGGTTGTAGTAGAGTCCATGCTCGTTTGGATAGATCGAACATTTCTACGGAATTTAGCACTTCCTCCTCATCATGCAATCCTCCAGCAACAATCACTTTTGACTTTGTGTTCATTCCACCACCATGCTGTAACTGCATCGATATTCTCTCCAGTTGTTTTGCCATTTCTGTTAAATCACATTTCATTTCTTCATTGCCTGCTGCCATGTCTAGTTTCTCGTTCATCCCTGTCAACGTTTGCTTCATTGTACCCATCTCTTGTCTCAACTCAACACAGTTATGACATTCTACTCTCCGTCGTTCACATACTGCCCGCTCATGGTACATTAAATCTCGTCTGTTCACATCAAGATAACAGCCTTGGTTCGAACACATTGCTGGACCAAACTCGCATTCTTTGCAATGCTTCTCCAGGTCTCCTAACTCTACGAACTTTGGACAACCTCGCTTGTAGAAGTCGCAGCGAATCTTGAGCTCAGACAGGACGTTCGTAACGACTCTCGGGGCCTCGCGCAGCGTTTCGACATTGAGTTCTTGATGACAAGATGGACATCTCTCGAAGTTCGCCAAATGTGTGGTGATACAAGCTCGACAGAATAAATGTTGATGGTCACGACACGTCACTGGATCTCTAAGAACGTTTCTACAGATAACACATTTAAAGTACTGGCTGACGGCTTGTTGAAATCTATCTTCTTCAAAGCCATATTGATACATTGCCATTGTTGTTCAACAGCAGTCTTGCTCAAAAACTTTGGCACTTTATAAATTGTTCTAGTTTCACATTTTCTAAAATCGACATTGTTTAGAAGTACTTAGCTATATTGCTATAAATATTGTCGAATATCTTTGATATGCTTTGACGCAGCGAAGAGAGACGCCGCGTTGAAGAACGAACTATACTTCTACTTACACAGAGTTCGTTTCAATTTCAGTTTAGCACACCTTACATTCCAGAATTCTATTGAAAAGAATTAAAACTGCGACATGGCTCCCCGCTTACTAAGACGTTTTTCCTAGTAGGGGATGCATTTATTCTTTTGAAATTTTCACGGTTTTTTAATTAAGCGGAATTGCGTTTATTTTACACGAAGAAGATGCGGAATAACGGTGCAATCAAAGAATGTAACATAGTTTCAAGTTGAAAATCTTGTTAGTAACATTGCTTTCACCATGTAACAGTTTTGGAGTTCTCACGGCAACCAGATATAACACCCAGACAAGTTTCGCTACCCTGGTGAGAATGAATATAAACTACCAATTATATAAATACATAACAAGCAATCTTGTTATGCATTTATATAATTGGTAGTTTACATTCATTTACATAAATCAGAGCAGCGAAACTTGTCTGGTGTTATATCTGGTTGCTGTGAGAACTCCAAAACTGTTACATGGTGAAAGCAATGGATGAGTTATGAACGTTCAGATGAGATAGGCCAGGGTACATATACTGAGAACAGTTGTAAATCATCTACTCGTTCACATCCATCAGAGGAAAATCGCAGTAAAAATTGCAAGGGTAAACGGGCCTTAAAACTTTAGCCACGAAATGATGTTATCAGGAGACGCAATGAACTGCTATGTACCCCTCACACCGCCTCTTCATGCGATCCTGACGTCTATCCTGTTTAAAATCAGTGAGCTCTATATATATATCTGGAGTAAGAACTTCAGTCATTCGGTCATTGAGAAAAGTGAAGCCAAGATGGCGGCCATTGACGTCCAATAGCTTTGAAGGTCGTAAACAGTTTTTATACCATTTTCCCCCAGCTAATTCCAGTTTTTTCTAATGGACGGTATCACTAATCAAGTTTTCAGTTCATAAAATCACAAAATTATTGTTTAAATCGAAGTCAAAATACGAAATTTCAACACACTCCTTGCCAAGATGGCGGAAATTGAAGGAGCTCTTGGACGTCAGTTCCAGTCCTTTTCTATTGTTTTTGTATGCGCGGTTAACACGAAACTGGCTTTACTTTGAGCAACCAAGTTCCTACTCCAGACATATATGGAGCTCACTGTTTAAAATTCACAGCCTTTGAAAACCCTGATCTCTTTACTTTATATGGAGCCTTGGAGGGAAGTCAGGGTCATTCAATACTAACAATCATTTCGCATGTAATCTAAAATTAATTACAATCTTAAAATTCGATTATCTCCAAATGTCCACGATACCCCCTTTTAACCCCGCGCGCTCTCTTCTGGCCTGCCGCAAGCTTCGCAAGCCAAACTTTACAGTAAATGTAGAAAGAAAACAAACTCATAGAAAGAAAACAAACTACAAAGCACAAAGCCTCTGCGGAGAAGAGTGGAGTTTTGGTTCATGGCAAGCAGATATAACATCAGACAAGTTTCGCTACTCTGGTTAATATAAATGAATGTAAACTACCACTTATTTAAATGCATAACAAGCGCTCTTGTAAAGGTAGACGTGTCGGTCAGCTCTAATACTTTTCACACGAAGGATGTTATCAGGAAACGCAATGCATTGTGGTATAGCCCTCACACCATCTCTGGACGCGATCCGGACCTGTACCCTGTTTAAAATTCATAACCTTTCAAAACCCTGATCTCTTTGCTTTATATGGAGGCTTGGGGGGAAGTCAGGACAATTCAATTATTTCAATATTAGCAATCCATTTCGCATGTAATCTAAAATAAATTACAATCCTAAAATTCGATGTATATTTTCGAAAATTTAACGACTTTCCCTACATATATTCAAAATTTAAAAACTTAAAGACGGTTTTAGTAGGTCGATTGAACGTTACGTCACAGTCATGTTGGTTGTTTCAACAATAAGAACTCATTACCTTTCATTGAATTTGCTACCTATATGGCTGGCGTTATATTGTTTTTTTAATTTGCAGGAGATTGGTTGCAATCCACCTATATAGTAATTTCTATATAAACCCTGGAACTGTAATATTAGATTATAAAGCAACAAAATACCAGATGTTCCCAACAAAACACCAGATATCTGAATATGGCACACTAAAATGATGTCACATACTGACTTACGCTTCGTAATTTTGACTAAATATTTTCAGTTCACCTATCTGCCTCCGCGCAAATTAAATTTACACTTGCCACAAGTTTTTTAACCGAATTCTATTTCAACAATCATACGCTTACAAATCAGTACATATTTATTAAGGTCATTCATTTATATTCTAATGTGATGTGCAATTTCGTTTCTGGAAACGTTATCAAAAGTTCATTTCTTGATGTCTAGCCAAGGAAACTACGAATGAAACATCGGTAAGCATGGGGAGTTAACATGCAACAGATGTGGCGAATGCTCTCGCTTCATGCATCGATGGAAGTTCCTCCCACGTATAACGGCTGAAATTGAAACTTTCTACAGACTTCAGGACATGGTTGTTCTCATCGAGCCCACCCATAACAATTATCATACTACCAACAACAACTGCCGTACAGGTTTTCCTCTTATACAGCATGGGAGGAAGCATGTGACTCTTCTGGGTCTTGACATTATAAATTGAAACTTTGTTTAATACTTCATCATTATCTTCCCCACCAAGTATAATGACATTATCATGCCATCTCACTGTGGCCATTAAGAGAACAGGATAGAGCAAGGGGGCCAACACTTTACATTCATTCTTACTAACATCATACATTACAACTTTATCATCAACTCCAGTAGAGGCATTTCCTCCACCTACAATTACAAGTTGATTATCAAAACATTCCATTCCATGACCAGCTGTTTTTTGTGGCATTGACGCCAACACCTTACTGGTGTAAGGTGGGACAAGAGAAACTTCAGAGATATTGTCAAAGCAGAGATCATCATTTTTACCTCCAACAACAATCAAATTATCATTAAAAACAACAGTTTGGTGACCAAACAAATTGTGGGGCAGTTCGGCAGGAATATCTTCCCATGTTGATAACGGACTAACTTCGTCAACATTCTCAAGTGCTTCTAAGGAATTCAATACATCTTCTTCACTGTCATAACCACCAGAAACTATCATTTGATTGTTATAAACAACTGCTGATGCACAAAAACGCCGTTCGTTCATTGGTTGCAGTAGAGTCCATGCTTGTTTGGATAGATCGAACATTTCTACGGAATCTAATACCTCATCCACATCGACTCCTCCAGCAACAATCACTTTTGACTTTGTGTTCATTCCACCACCATGCTGTAACTGCATCGATATTCTCTCCAGTTGTTTTGCCATTTCTTTTAAATCATACTTCATTTCTTCATTGCCTGCTGCCATGTCTAGTTCCTCGTTCATCTCTGTCAACGTTTGCTTCATTGTACCCATCACTTGTCTCAGCTCAACACAGTTATGACATTCTACTCTCCGTAGTTCACATTCTGCCCGCTCATGGTACATTAAATCTCGTCTGTTCACATCAAGATAACAACCTTGGTTCGAACAGATTGCTGGAGCAAACTCGCATTCCTTGCAATGCTTCTCCAGGTCTCCTAACTCTACGAACTTAATACAACCTCGCTTGTAGAAGTCGCAGCGAATCTTGAGCTCAGACAGGATGTTCGTAACGACTCTCGGGGCCTCGCGCAACGTGTGGACACAAAGTGCTTGATTACAAGAAGGGCATCTCTCGAAGTTCGTCAAATGTGTGGTGATACAAGCTCGACAGAATAAATGTTGATGGTCACGGCACGTCACTGGATCTCTAAGAACGTTTCTACAGATAACACATTTAAAGTACTGGCTGATGGCTTGTTGAAATCTATCTTCTTCGAAGCCATATAGATATGTCGCCATTCGAGTCGCCACTGTCGTTCAACTGCTAGCAGTCTTGCAGTTCTGTTACTGTAATACTGTTAGTCCATGGATTGTTTTAGTTTATTGCTGTAGAATATTGTTGAATATCAGAATATCTTTGATACAGACAAGAGAAACGTGGCGTTATAATTAAGGAACAGTATACTTTGTTTACAGTTTATCATACCAGCATATCATGTATCAAAAATATCATATTTCATTAGTTGCTAGCAGTGGTTTAATTAACAACTCGCCAACAAAATAACTAGCCAATAACTTATTTATTTATTTTGCCCAAACTAAATAATATAAATGGTATATTTACAAAATGGTATATTTAACCAGAAACTATAAGGCTTTTATTTAAGGTGGAACTGTAGTTAGTTCTCTCGTGTGCTTCGAGGGGTTTTTCGAATCCTCAAAATTTCCTCTCTCAGCACTTGCTCAGGCGGTTGTAAGAGGGGGGAGGGGCGGTTGTGGCGCGGGCACCGCCAGCTACGCAGGCTAGAGTTGCGATGCTTCACACACGGCTCCGGCTGGAACTAAGTGTCAGAATGACAAGAAATGTGACAATTTTGAAGAATTAGCGTTGGTTAGAAAAACTGCTCTGTTTTCGACTTTTAATATATTAATTAATATCATGCAGAAAGTATGTAGTTTATCGTTTTATCTTTGTCAAAAATTCTTTACAAAAATTTCAAAAACTCATTAATAATTCATGGTACTACAATCATATGGCCAATTAACGAGTTAATTGTGACATGTGACCTACCATAGCAGACGGTTTTTTGGGAGAGGAGTTTGTTCAATCAGCCTAGAAAAATTCCTTGCACGTGACATACCGCGTGATGTTAAGAAAACGATATGATGAATTTTCGATGTATATTTTCGAAAATTTAATGACTTTCCATACATATACTCATAAATTTCAAAACTTAAAGACGGTTTTTAATAGTAGGTCGATTCCACGTTACGTCACGGCGGCCATGTTGCTGGTATTTCAACAAAAAAATCTCCGATTATCTTTCACCGAATTTGCCACCAATACTGACTGGCGTTATATTGTTTTTTAATTTCCAGGAGATTGGTTGGAATCCACCTATATAGTAATTTCTAATCCCTGGAGCTGCAATACTAGATTATAGAGCAACCAAAATATCAGATTTTCCCAACAAAACACCAGATATCAGAGCATGACACACTAAATGATGTAACATACTGACTTACGATTCATAATTTTGACTAAACATTTTCAGTTCACCTATTTGCCTCCGCACAAATTGAATTTACACTTGCCATAAGTTTTTTTAACCAAATTCTATTTCAACAATCACACGCTTACAAATCAGTACAGTACATATTTATCGATTAAGGTCATTCATTTATATTCTAATGTGACGGGCATTTTCGTTTCTGGAAACATTATCAAAAGTTCATTTCTTGCTGTCTAGTCGAGGAAACTACGAATGAAACATCTGTATGCACGTAGGGTTAACATGCAACAGATGTGGCGAACGCTCTCGCTTCATGCATCGATGGAAGTTCCTCCCACGTATAACGGCTGAAATTGAAACTTTCTACAGACTTCAGGACATGGTTGTTCTCATCGAGCCCACCCATAACAATTATCATACTACCAAGAACAACTGCCGTACAATCTTTCCTCTTATACAGCATGGGAGGAAGCATGTGACTCTTCTGGGTTTCCTCCACCTACAATTACAAGTTTATCATCAAAACATTCCATTCCATGAGCAGCTGTCTTCTTTGTCATTGAAGCCAACAATTTACTGGTGCAAGGTGGGACCAGAGAAACTTCAGAGATATTGTCAAAGCGGAGATCATCATCTCCACCTCCTCCAACAACAAGCAAATTATCATTAAATACAACACTTTGGTGACCAAACAAATTCTGGGGCAGTTCAGCAGGAATATCTTCCCATGTTGACAACGGACTAACTTCGTCAAGATTCTCAAGTGCTTCTAAGGAATTTAATACATCATCTTCATTGTCAAAACCACCAGAAACTATCATTTGATTGTTATAAACAACCGCTGATGCAGTAGAACGACATCTGTTCATTGGTTGCAGTAGAGTCCATGCTTGTTTAGATAGATCGAACATTTCTACGAAATCTACTACTTCCTCATTGTCATTGCATCCTCCAGCAACAATCACTTTTGACTTTGTGTTCATTCCACCACCATGCTGTAACTGCATCGATATTCTCTCCAGTTGTTTTGCCATTTCTTTTAAATCACATTTCATTTCTTCATTGCCTGCTGCCATGTCTAGTTTCTCGTTCATCTCTGTCAACGTTCGCTTCATTGTACTCATCTCTTGTCTTAGCTCAACACAGTTATGACATTCTACTCTTCGTCGTTCACATACTGCCCGCTCATGGTACATTAAATCTCGTCTGTTTACATCAAGATAACAGCCTTGGTTCGAACAGATTGCTGGACCAAACTCGCATTCTTTGCAATGCTTCTCCAGGTCTCCTAATTCTACGAACTTTATACAACCTCGCTTGTAGAAGTCGCAGCGAATCTTGAGCTCAGACAGGACGTTCGTAACGACTCTCGGGGCGTCGCTCAACGTTTCGACATTTAGTTCTTCATTACAAGATGGACATCTCTCGAAGTTCGCCAAATGTGTGGTGATACAAGCTCGACAGAATAAATGTTGATGGTCACGGCACGTCACTGGATCTCTAAGAACGTTTCTACAGATAACACATTTCAAGTACTGGCTGACGGCTTGTTGAAATCTATCTTCTTCAAAGCCATATAGATATGTCGCCATTGTTGTTCAACAGCAGTCTTACAGCTCTGTTAATGCACGGATTGTTCTATAGTTTTACATTATTCTAGTTTCGCAAGTCAATATTTATCACCAGCATGTACGTATACCAAAAATACTCAGTTCATCAATTGACTTTGGAGCATCCTAGCAAGCTTAGCACTGGAACACGTCTAGCAATTGTCTGAAGTTCTGTAAATTATGTTCTCAAAAATTAGTTAAAACTAGTTAAAATATGAGCAGCTGATATTTATGGGCATTCACTTTATTAGTACTCGCTGCCCATGGGGACAATCGCACGCTTCATTAGCATGATTTAAAATCTGAATTTGTATTGACAAACATCCTTGCTTCTGAATTAGTATTCATAACTTTCATAAAGTGCACGTGTGGCCTAAATACCGCGTCGTGATTTGTTTGTAGCCTAACTAACTATTCATGCATGAATTTTACAAGTAAGAGTTAAGCCGGTTTTCCACTTGCGAATTTTTTCGCGCGAAGCGAATTTTTCATTTGTCCTTGGTCTCTAAATTGTAACCATCTGGAACTAATTGGATAAAGACAAAAGAAAAATTCGCTTCGCGCGAAAATATTCGCAAGTGGAAAACCGGCTTTAATTACCGAGAACGAAGTTTCTCAGCGAGATACAACCCGAGGGGCGTGACCCGAAGAAATTTCTCTCGCCTAAAGCCTGCCGCACACTAGAGAAACTTGCTGAGCTCAACGCCTCGAGTGTCAGCTAGTTCAGCTATGTATTTTCACCGCACACGTTGGGAAAACTACTCAACAACAACACAATTGACAAAATCATTTGCATTTTCCTCCATTTTGTACCAAGTCACATGAAGAAACTATGGTTTGTCATTGGCTAATTGACTCAAACAGCTCAGCACTTAGCTCACAACATCCGCAGACGCTGAGATTTTTTCCTCGCGAGGTGAAAAATATCAAACACGACAGATATTTTCCTCAAGGCCTCGAGAGGTCAAATCCTCACGAAAACTAGCCGCACACGAGAGAAATTGC